AAAGAAGAGTTATAATTGCACTACTATGCATGGGCCAAGATACAGTTTGCAATTGCACTTCAGGCACCCTACCTGGCCAGAAAGCTTCCTTGTATACATTGCCCGAACTGCAATTCGGAACTGTATCTTGGCCCATTATAGTGCAATTGTAACTCATTTTTCTGACTCCCACATAGTTTCCCCTTTTTTGTTTTAAGCCCAGGTTGTTGTAGAGGCCAAGTTCCAGACACACGGTGGTCGCTGCATCAGCCAGCCATTGGTTGTCCTGACAATTGTTCTATTTGTGAGACGGCCTCCCAACCCATCCTCTCATCAATTCTCCCAGTGCACTTGGCTTGACTTGGACCCGGTACCGGCTGCCTGCAGCCTGTTTGCTTCAGAATGTTTTTTTTTTTGTTTTTTTTTGTTTTTTTGTCATAAAAGATGGTGTCAAAACAGGTAGATGCAGCAGTTGGGAGTAGGAAGATAGAAGTAGGAGAGTGCCTTTATCTTCCTACTCCCAACTGCTGCATCTACCTGTTTTGACACCATCTTTTACGTAGTAGTTGTGTGTCATCCTTGTAGCTGACATGCCGCGCCGAGCGGGTACACCAACGACAACGTCATCGGCGAGTCTGCATAGATGGCAACAAGACGATCGTTTTGCCTGCGCGCTTCTACGTCATGGCGGGCATCCCTTCGCCCCACCCGGGATGCCCGCCGGCCGGACGGTGGCTTCACGTCGCAGGAGGCCGACAGAGGTGGCGAACGTCGTTGCTTGGCCGAGGGGGGAGCGAGCATCCGTGTCTTCGAGGCAGGGACTGCGACCGGTTTGCTTGTGCAGTCTCGCAATCGACGCTGAGGTCGATTGCATTTGGGGGGATATGGGGGGTGGGGGGGGAGAATGGGGGGAGAGGTGGGATGGAGGGCCGAAGGTGTTGAATTGGTGGCCAGAACGTGAGTTGCCGGCCCTTCCTTCGAGGTGACTGCCGTGTGTCCGTGCAGGTGGACATGCAAGAGTAGTGAACGATAAGAAGAGGACACGCTCGCAAATTCTGTGTGTGCGATGTTAGTCCGGTTGCGACGACGGGCAGTGGTGTAGTGAGTGCTGCAAGTGTTGTGCCGGTGCATCGGCCATGGTGCTGTCAGCGCACAACTTGTTGCTGTTCGCCTACACGTGCATGACAGTGTGGGCAGTGGGAGTCGTCGTGTGTGCCGTGTTCTCACGGCTGTGCAGGTCTGTGTTCCGGGCGTGCATGACAGTGTGGGTGGTGGGAGCCGTCGTGTGCGCCGTGTTCTCACGGCTGTGCAGGTCTGTGTTCCGGGCCCGGAGCCTTCGTCGGCGTCGCTCTTCATCGTCCACAGAGATGGATGTGCGAATGGGCAATGGCGGTCGTCATTCTGACCTGCCTATCCAGCAGGGCATGCCGTGCGTCCAGGACCTCAACGCTTGTCCCGTCGCCGGCATGCCACAGGGGTTGTGCTTCGATGGCTCGCCATCATCGGAGGTTCATTCGCATCTCCGACAGCTGCCGGACCTTCATGTGGGGTTTCGTGGTGGACGCGCTGCCCGTGTGGACGGCGGTGCGCGTCTCCCTCCTCATATGCTGCCTCTTCCGGATAACATCCATGTGTTCATCAGGGAAGAGGTCTACAAGGTGATGGATCAGTACTATCACGATGATCCTTCAGCTGTGTCGAAGCACATTCTTGATTCGGGGAACCCGATCGAGGAGGACTTCGGCGCTGCACCATCAAGAAGCCCTGCCGACACCAGTGCTGGCAGCGAATCCATTGCCGCAGCTGCACGAGCTGGTGCAGCTAGGAGAAGAACCAATGCACGTGCCGGTGCCATGACGGAGTTGAAAAGCATGCTTGTGGATTACGGTAACCTGACGGGAGAAGCGGCGCGTGATGCAGCGAAGGAGGCGGCGAGAATGCAGTCTGACGATCGCGCGAGATCGGACAGCGACTTTCGTGAGGTGATGACGTCTGTGGCAGACGAGCTGAGGACAAACAACAACAACCTTTGCAGCACCATAGCCACGCTCACCGCCACTCTCCAGCAAGGCCCGCAGCCGTCCACCCAGTGACGACGACATTGGGAGGTCTCGCTATCTATGCTGAGGATGAAGTCGTGTTCGCCATTTGTGCACGTTCATGTGCGTGCATTGTGATCTGTGGCTGAGTAGCTATTTTATTTTAGTTGGCAACGTGGTGATCTAATGAGTGCGGAACTGCACATGACACGGGCTCACAAGTGAGCTTCGACCAACCACAGACAGTGCGTAGTTGGCATTAACGGGAGTTGGATCGGCCCCACAAAGGCCGAGTTAGCATTTCGTTTGCTGTGGAAATCACCGTGCTAAGTTGAGTAGATGGTCAGGGTCGAGTTTGCATTCTGTTTGCGCAAGAAAGCAAGAAAGCATTTCGTTGGATATGAAAATCACTCGTTTGATCTGGACCGACTTCGCACCTCCTTTGGTCTTGGCCGAGTTGGCATTTCGTTTCTTGAAGTTGCATTTCGTCGGAGTTGGAAGTCGTTCGTTTGTTGTGGACCGGCTTCGCATTTCGTTCGAACAAGATGACAAGGATGAGTGACTCTTCTTCTTTTTTCCAGTTTTTCTTTTTTTCTTTTTTTCTTTTTTTCTTTTTTTCTTTTTTTCTTTTTTTTTGTCAATCTCTGCAGACCTCTCTCTCTCTCTCTCTCTCTCTCTCTCTCTCTCTCTCTCTCTCTCTCTCTCTCTCTCTCTCTCTCTCTCGTTTGTTAGGGTGTTTATTATAAATGTGTTACTTGCCTGCAACTGACATGGTCACCATAGCTGCCATGTCACCCTCTTAAGTGCAGCTCACCTGTTAAGGGCATATGTATCTGCATGCTGTTCTATGAGCACGTGTTGCAAACACTTTTTCTGCGAATATTTGTATGCATGTGACATGTGATAACTGCACTTACTCTTTATGGTTGAAATACAGACCCGATTTGT